GCCCGATAGAGGGGAACTATCACCTCCTTGGACCTATTCGTCATGCATCTGCTGATGCACGATAAAGTGCCATTGGCTTTTCTGATGGCTTCGTCACACTGCCGACTCACGTTCATCTTGGAGTCCACTAGGACTCCAAGATCCCTTTCCACTTCCGTGCCACCCAGCAGGTCATTCCCTAGGCTGTAGGTGTGCTGGACATTTTTCCTCCCTAGGTGCAGCACTTTGCATTTCTCCTTGTTGAACTGCATTCTGTTGTTTTCTGCCCACTTGTCTAACCTGTCCAGGTCTGCTTGCAGCTGTTCCCTGCCCTCCGGCATGTCCACTTCTCCCCATAGCTTTGTGTCATCTGCAAACTTGGACAGAGTACATTTCACTCCCTCGTCCAAGTCGCTGATGAAGACATTAAAGAGTATCGGTCCAAGGACTGAGCCCTGCGGGACCCCACTGCCCACACCCTTCCAGGACGAAGCCGACCCATCCACCACGACTCTCTGGGTGCGACCCTCCAGCCAATTCGCCACCCACCGGACTGTGTAGTCATCCAAGTCACAGCCTCTTAACTTGTTCACCAGTATGGGGTGGGATACCGTATCGAAGGCTTTCCTGAAGTCTAAGTATACGACATCCACCCCTCCTCCTGTGTCCAGGCGTTTCGTAACCTGGTCATAAAAAGAGACTAGATTGGTCAGGCACGATCTGCCTGCCACGAACCCAACTTCTGGTGCCCTGTCAGCTGGAATGGTTTCATGGGGTGAATCCAGCCTGCAGGCCATATTTGACAGCCTGACTTAAGGGAGAACATCTTCCAAACTTGTTTTGACCAGGCCCAAAGTTTCAATGTAACAGAGTGGACACAATACAACAGATTGTGCCAGAGCATCAATGAAGGCTACACTACCACCTCTTGCACAACACTGAAACAAGGTTGAAAGCTGACAGAAATTTAATTGGGATTTGCAGCTTCTGAAATATTGCTGGAATGGTTAAGTTAGCTGCATTGAACTGTGCTGGATAAGTCACAGATTTTTAAGCATCTGTCTTGAACAGGTTTTTGAAGTACCATGAAACTGATAATAATTCATTTCCCTACTTTTATGACACGCTTTTACCCTTTTCCATGCTCTTACTGAAAGTATGAGTATGCAGATGCTAAGCACCACCTTTGTTACACTATTTGGAAAAGAAAATAAAGAATACTTGTATAAAGCATAAAGTACCTTAGGTAATTACTCAGAGGGTTCCTCCACCACCCCAATCACAGAGATTGAAACATCTCTACTCAACTGAAAACAACAAATTACAGTTAACATCTGTTGAAAAAAAAAATTAAAGTTGCCAAGGTGGCTACTCCTCCTTGCTGTGCTGCGCTCAAACATACCATTATTCCAATGTAGTGTCGGTAATGAAGAGGCAACGGACCATCCATCTGCAATAGATAGTGCTGAGTTTTTAGAAAACTTTCTAGATACTGTGGGTGGAAAACCATCACCAAGGTAACATTGTCCAAACGGCCCAAAGCAGCAAAGGAATCAGCAAACAAAGCGTGCATCTGGGCGTCTTCATTTCCCACTTGAAGAATCTGTTTGAATTAAATATATATAAATCAATCATTAACACTTCCTTTAAAAAAAAAAAAAAAAGAAATCAACAAACTAAATATTACCATAGAACTCGGAAGCCCCAATTAAATTTTGAGAACTGAACATTAACTAAAATTTCCGAAGAAACCTATCATTAAAAAGCCTGAAGCTATCAACATGACACTTTAGGGGCAGCACTGAAATGTAAATGACACTTAATGGTACAATTATGCCCATATCTCCTGTAGACCGAGGTCATGCTCCTTTTAAGTCATGTCTACATGGATGTTCTTAAGAGTTAAGATGGTTCAACAAAAAGTATTAAAAAAATCAATGCACATAAAGTAAAGCACATTAGACCTTATTTCAGATGCCCCCAATCTGTAATTAGATGGCCTTTGTGTGCTATAGCTTCATACCCAAAATGTTTAACATGCTTTATTTAATGAACACTTATTTCATACTTTTAATTGACTCACCTAACTTCCCCAAGAGTCTCCATGTAGGGCCTTTACAGCATAACTCACCTGCTGTAGAAGTGCAGAATTCATAACTGCAGGCAACTTCTAGCTAAGAAAAAAGTTAAGAACTATGTGTGTAGCTAACAAGGGCCTCAGATTTAAGATTTTAAGTTTCCTAGAAAACTGTCTACAGGTACATCGTTAAACCTTGTTATACCAGCCCCTCCTGCCAACGGATGCACACAGCAGCATCAAAATAAATTAGTTACATGGGTGAAGGATGCTATAATTTTGTTTGCTTGTGGTAAGAGTCCTTAAGACAGACAACAACTATCTATCACCAGAAATAACTCAGGCCCACTGTGGACCAGTAGGAGAAACCAGTCTACCTATGCATAAGATGGGGAAAAAAAAAGGAGCATGATGCCAAAAAATAATGCTGAATTCTTGTATAATATCTAGTAGTGTAAAAGAGGTGCTGTAAGTTTCCAAAATTCCACATGGACTTCACTTGTCTCTAAGTCATCACAGTCACTGCCAGACTGTCAGAGTGATTTAGGGCAATCACTCTGCAAATGTTTTGCAATTCAACAGCTGTTCTGAAAACAAATGTGGGTTACTACTACAGAAGTATTCCTTAAAAGCATCAAGTTCACTGTGCACTTGTGAACATCAACAGACCTCCTTCTCTGGGATGAATCTGCTTGGTCCATGTCCCACTGGTCTAGGAATTCTAATTCCAAGTTCCTAGAAAAGAAAATTGTATCATCTCAATTTTTAGCTACAAACAACAACATGTGGCTTCAGGGAATGAGAAATAAATGCATAATTCAAACAGGGCTGTGCTTATTTTACTAGTGCATTTTGGACAAATACCATATTTTTTCTACATGTTCTCTCTAACTAACCACACTGGTTTACAGTATACTATGCAGCCCCAATCAAAAACAATAAAACCTGGTTCACTGAAAACCTTTGCTTTGCATAAAGAAGTTGGCAGAGTGTCCAGAACACAGCGTTCAGTACATAGCTGGCTGCTGTGTTGTATGTCACTGATACAAAGTGAGACTGACTGCGGATGTGCAGACATACATCAGCTAGAATACAACTCCATGCGTCTGTCACAAAATGAAACAGTTACAGTTTTAATCTGATTTTCCCCATCTTAAAGATGTGTATGAATTATTAAAGGTACTAGCATCTAAGTTTTTGTTTGCTTGCTTTTAAGAGGAGTTAATTAGCTATTTAACACAGAGGTAATGATGCCCAAATTGAGGAAAAGCACTGTGCCACAAGAATTGCTGAAACCCAGACACGTTTTCTCACTGTCTGAAAGATCACTTATCACACCTATGCAACTATTTTCACTACAGCTTCTCAACTGAAAGAAGCTATGTATTAAATCTGTTGCTCTTGTGAATTCTGGGAGCCATTTATCCCCTTAAAACCCAGGTAGTAGAGCCAATAAAGGACTTGAAGTATGTGACAATGTAGTATAGTGGGATTGGTTACTCCCCTGGTCATGGAGAGTCCTGAGTTCCCACCCCTGCTTCTGCAACTGTTTATACGTGTATATATCCAACAGGCACTGGATAAAATAAAGATTTTAGAACAGGGACTAGAATCCAGGACTCTCCCCTCCCTGCTGAGTCCTCTAGGATAGAAAAGCCAAACACGCTTTGTGTGTACACTCTCTAACCCAGTGATTCTTGCAATCTTGGCTGCTCAGTGGCACAGTTCAACAGGAGGCTTTGCGGGGTGCCTACATCCAGCTTATTCTGTAGCCTGATGGTTATGGGCACTCTCTGGACAAACGGCTGGTGTGGCTGCTTGATTTGTCAGAAAAAAAATTAGGTAAATTCATGTCTCGGGTACAGTTAGGAGTTTCCTTTCGGAGAAATCAGTTACAAAGAAGCAGACTCTATAGATCTTCTGCTCCTCTTAATTTTTACATCACATGCTTTTCTTGAGTTGCATTTGGACAAAGTGTGATATAAGAGCTTCTCTTGTTATTAATATCTTCAAATAGTAAATGGAAAGATAAAGCTTTCATATTGCGGTCACAAGATTGCACTTAACTAAATCAGTAATACACTACTTCTCTGTGTTGGATTCAAACGACTCTTATTCCACAAAGGCCAATTACTTTTTGTTTGGCTACCCTACCCTGCTAAATTGAAGAAAGAAATATCCTGCATCCAAATGACACAAGCAGGCCCATACATAACATTTAATTTAGCAGATGTCTCCAAATCCAGCTGCCAACTCAAACACACCAGGAGAAAATTCCTGGTCAGCTATGTTTTAGTCCTCTTTTCCAAAACAATTACAGGAAGAAAAACCTTCAAGTTCTACAGTCTGACACTTAATATGCTTGCAAATTTATTTTGTGCCTGATGATATCTAAAATATAATCAATAGGTACTAAACTTGCATACTCTGCCCCTCAGAGTTTTTAAACAACATATGATTATGCAACATATATCAAGTTAAATGAAAAACAGTGTTTTTAAAAAAAAGTTAAAAAGAAAGAAAAAAAATCTCAATGCAGAGACCATTTCAAGAAGTGTTAACAAGGAGAGAGGCATGATCCAACTAGTCAAACAACACTGTTGAACTTTGGAGACCAGGTTCAAGTCAGTGACCAAGTCAGTTTTTCCTGGTATCCAACATTAGAAATGATGTCTTGGCTATGCAGCATTTGAAGTAAGACTTAACTCTTGATGAAGTGCTCTTCTCATAGGGATCTTACCCTTGGCTCTTAGCACGTGGCTCCACTCTTGCAAACTTTTCTCTAGGCCTTCATTTTCTAATACATCCAAGTCTCCCCCTCCCAGGTTGTCCTCATATACACAAAGCCTGCTCTCTGATCCAACTCTAAGGTAACTAGGGTCACCTTCAAATCTCTCTAAAGGAACTTTTGCTCTGGGGCCTACAAGAAGTCAGTCAGTTAGGAAAGGTCCTGGAACCAGCAGCAGTTGGAAGTAGCCACCTTCATGTACTGTATTTACTCAATTCTAAAATGAGCCGGTCCTCATCTTAGAATCAAATACAAGGGCAGCAAGGGGGCAGGTAGCTGCTGTGGCTTGGCTCCAGGGTCAGAGCCATAGCTCTATTTGTTGCCTAGCCCCACTACCTGGCCCCGCTGCCTCTGCACCCCTCCATCTCTCCTGCCTGCCCCCAGGCAGCCTTTGCTCCCCTGCCTGCCTCTGTCCTTCCTCCCACCCGTATCCTTTTTCTGTGCTGGCAGGCCCCATCCATGCTGCAGCCTGGGGCACTGAGCATGGCCCCAGCCCTATAATAGCAGTATGCAGCCTGCAGAGCTGCTGTGGGGGCTGGGCCGGGACTGTGCCATGCCTCAGGCTAGAACAGTGACAGAGCCTGCTGGCACAGAGCAAAGGGAAAGGGGTAAGGGGAAGGCAGACCAGAGGCGGGGGGAAAGAGAAGAGCGAGTGGAGGCTAGGGGGAAAGTAGAGAGTGGAGGGCAGGGGGAAGAGGTGGCATTAGGGCAGGCACAAGCAGGGGGCAGATCATGTGACCTCCCCAACCCACCACTGCCCCCTTGCAGTGGTGAAAGGGATGAATTAAAGATGACCCCCAGTAATTTGATTCTATACATGGAAAAAGAAGGGTTAGAGAGAGAGTGTATACACAAAGCAAGCTTGGCTTTTCTAGCTTAGAGGATTCAGCAGGGAGGGGAAGAGTCCTGGATTCTAGTCCCTCCTCCAAAATCTTTATTTTCCACTTATAGAATCTAATTATTGGTGGGTCATCTTATAAAGCATTTGAGTAAATGCAGTATTTTTTGAAGTATGAATTACTTCCAAATGACACCCAACCATCAAGTTGTGCGTGTAACTGACTGCGTAATTGTGCACTACCACCCTCCACCTCTCTTCACTTCCCTCCTACTATTTGTTATCCTTGGTGCATCTTGTTTCCCAATACTGCGCAACAATCAACACAGCAGAACAGAACATCACCATGACATTCTGGGGCCCGTGGGGGCTACTGTAAGATAGTAATACCAACGAAACAAAGAAAATAAGCAAAAAAGAACCCCAAAACACTTCACGTCAGTCATGTATACTCAGTCTTAAAGGCCAGATTATAGTATGTTAAAACTGCAAAATTAAGCAGCAGAAATCCAGATTTACTCACCTTTATCTCATCTTCCTTATACATCATAATGTCCTCTTTAATCAGAGGACACATACTACCATTTCCAAGGAGCCTTACCTCACTATCTAGACATCTGTCTATGCAATTTATACGACTCCTATCACCATAGGATCTGGACATTCACAATCTTTAAATATCTTCACACCACCACTGTAAGGTGAGAGAATGCTGTTATCCCCATGCAAGAAGAACTGAGAAATAAAAAAGCTGAGTGACTAACCCAGACTCGCAGAGAAAGCCTCTAGCAGAGCAGGGACTTGAACCTAGGGTCCCTCAAGTCATAGGCTAGCACTCTAATCACTGGACCATCCTTCCTCTAAGATATATTTTTCAACTGGTGTTTTATGCAAGCAGAAAATCTGCTCAGCCCTGTGCAGACTGAACTGCATCCAGTTCATGAGGCAGATGTGCAACCTTAATTACACTTCTGAATTTACATGTATTATTTTCCTCCACTACTATGCCTACTTCAATACATCACAGCCAGTTACAGTTGTCAAGCAATCCTATGTGCACACATTTTCATGCAGCTCATTTTCATTAATAATGTTGGAAGATAACCATTCATGTTATAAAACTACTACACACATACAAACCCTTACATGTGGGCTTTCACTACCTCAGAACTTTGCCTGTTCAAGCCAACGGGTATCTCAGACACAGAAGAACACCTCTCCATCATCTCTCTTTCCCCAGATGTATTTTCCTGACAAGTTTTTGTTTTCTACAACAAGCCACTGCTGCACTTTAAGTGCTTGAAGAGTGAGACACACGTCATTTTCTGCAAAGTATGTACTTCTACTCTCCCAGTATTCAAAAGACATCTAGTTTGTTTTCATATAAAGTGTAAAGTTACCCCCAAACAGAACCCAAACATGAGAAATTGCATCCAGAAGTGAAAAGGGGCCTTTATATCTGAAATGCCTTGATAATCTAAACTATAGCTATCTCACTGCAATGCAGCTAGGACATTTTTGCTGACTGACACTCCTCATTGCTGGCTCCCAGCTACTATAGCTTTGCTTTTTCTCCCCCTTATCAAAAGACCACATTCAAGATTCAATTATAGTTTGTCACCTGTGGATGGTGTACTGTTGCCAACTTTTACAATAATAAATTCACATTTTAAGAACTGAACTTTGACCACAAAACAGCCTGTAGATTGTTTCCCTGTACACAGTGAATCAGTCCATTTACCGTGAGTACAGCAAGTACCAGTGCTAAATGTTACAAGTCTATGAAAGATATATTTAGGTATTTACTTAAGCCTCTGTTAAGATGTAGATAAAACACTACACACTGCAGGCAAGCAGAGTAAAAATATTATTTATCCATTTAGTTCACACAGCTACATTAGCATTAGTACTATCTGAATCTTGTTTTCTGAATAACAACTGAACAACCCCCACAGGATTTGGACATAACCACCACAGAATCAAAAATCCTACCACAATGCAAGGCAGTCTTATAAGAAATGTATCTGGCTCTTTGTTCCCTTTTCTTCCTTCCCACTCCCCTCCCCCAAGAAGTGCAAAATAAGCAAAAGCTGCTTATTACTCCATACAGCCAAAGTGCATTTTTATTCTGGCACACAACTACAACTAGTGTCCTCAGTTTTGGTTTTAAATTCCTCAATGACATCTGCTAGCAAATTTACAGTTGGGATTTATTTTCTTAAGTGCCAGCCCTACAGACTCAACTTAGGATATTTATGCATATTTTGATGTTCACTTTAAAAATAGTCATTTAACACTATCACCTCCTAGGATAAAAACCCCCAAATGTTCAGTAACTAATTAAAGAGCGCTGTATAGAGAGCCTCTGGCACTTAGGATCCTTTTGATGCTTTGGGAAATGTTACTCCTAGTCTTCTACCTCCTTTTCAAAAGTTGTTTCAAAACAATAACTCCCCAAAAGTGACAGGGACATACCATGAATTTGGAAGGTTTCCTTATTTAGCTCTTAGCGACAACTCTTGCAGAGCAGCACCGCAGCGTGGGTTGTTTTGATCTGCCTGTGCCCTATCAGTGAACTGATAGTTCTCAAATTAGAAATCATGCTTTCAATTCTATTCATCACAATAACTGGAACATATCCAAGAGTTACCCCAGCTACATCTGTAAGCCTTAAGGCAGTGGCTCGCAATCTCTATAGACTCAAGACACCCCCTGTTTGACTCAAGGCATCTCCTGGAAAGTGCCAGCTTTACCTTTCATTTGTTTCTTGACTATAGAAAAATAGTAAGAGCAACTCTTCAGTTGCAAAGAAAAAGACCACAACAGGGCACAATAGCGTTTTTGACGCTATGAATTCCAATTTGAAACCTTTGGGTGAATCATGTTTGCACACCTAACAGTGCTCACACTGCATGGCACGCTTGAAAGGATCTCAAGGCACCCCAGGGTGCTGCAGCACTGCCTTCAGGGCTTCAAAGAATTTGGGTGAAAGAAGGGTTGACCCTGCTTCTGTAAATGCGCACACACACACACACACACTAATGCTCCTCCTAGACAGCAGAAAGCAAAGTTGGTGGTTCAAACTACTTACCTTAATCCACCGACTCTCAACCAGGGAGAATCACCTGACAACACCCTCAGAGTCATGAGATCCTCAGGGATGCCACACAATATTAACACTGATGTGCAGACCTAACTTATGATAAACCTAGAGATTTCAAGTAGGAATCCATAACGTCAAAAACATTTCTGACTTCCATTGCAAAAAACTTAGAAACGGCTCTATTATTTTTCTGTAGTTAAAAAAGAAAAAGAAAAAGGAGTCCTGGCTAAGCACCAGCATTTTCCCAGGGGTGACTTATGTCTAGCAAGAGGTTCCTTGAATCTAGACAGGTTGAAAACCAGTGCTCTAATTCAGAAGTCTGCAGTATGCCACAGCATTTAGACACAAAGCAACATAAATACTAAAACAACATATTTTTGAATCTTCAATTCCTTTGTCTGCCAATGCTTTCCAAATTCTGGCACTGACTCCACTGGGTAGAAACATTTAGATCTGTTACAGAACAAAAGCAGTCGGCTTGCTGACACACATACAGATATACATTATTAAAAATAACTATTCTGTTCTCCAACCTTACTGAAATGCAAAAGACCTTGCATACTTGATTTTAAATCATACCACTGCTCATGTGTTACTGCATTTTAAAGAGACCGTAATCTATTATTAGCTTTACAAATGGAGAGCATCTTTTCTCTGAAGATCTCTGAATGTTTTTAAAACAATAAATCACTCAACATCTAGAACCACTTAATGTGACAACCATTTTACAGCAGGGGAAAACAAGATATAGAGATTCAGTGCCCAGCCAGGTGTATTAAATGTATGAGGGAGGAAGGAGTAAAACTCAGGGGGTTCTGACTCCCAAGCATCTTGCTCTGGCTACAGATCAGCAACATAATCTAGTAGATTTTGCCCCCTCACCAAAAAATCCCTGCCCTTTCTGGGATTAAGATATGAAGATGCAGATTAATGTACAACTCTCTCAATAATTTTAGAGAGTTTTTGTCGCAACACTTCTGCCTGCTATTTCTCTCTTCTCAGTCAATTAAAGGGACTTGCGGTGCTGAAAACATTACTGCATTTAAAGGGACCTTAATCTATTATTAGCTTTACAAATGGAAAGCATCTTTCCTCGGAAGATCTCCGAATGTGTTTAAAAAAATAAATCTCTCAACATCTAGAATCACTTAATATGACAATGGTTTGGCAGGTGGGAAAAACAAGATGCAGAGGTTCAGTGCCCAGCTGTGTGGATTCAATATATGTTGGAGGAAAAGGGAGTAAAATTCGGGGAGCTCGGACTCCTGAGCATCTCATTCTAGCTACAGATCAGCAGCAGCATCTAGACCAGTTGTAGCAAAGGTTCTCAACCTCTTTTGTACCAGGACCCATTTGTTACCATCAGTGGCCAGTCCTGACCCAGCACCCCTCACTCCTGCCCTCTGCCCCCAATGTGTGGGGCAGGGAGGGGGGGAGGAGGGAGGGCTGCAAGCAGCCCCTCGCAGGCTGGGACTCTGCCAGCCTGCAGGGGAAAAGCCACCGTTTCCCACATTTTTCTCCTTTAAATGAGAATCCATTTTTTAAAAGTTTGTTGATCCATTTATGAGGCTTGTTTGGACCCTTTCATATATTCTTGCAACCCACTTTTGGGTCACGACCCACGGGTTGACAAACACTGATCTAGTAAACCACCCTCCCACCCAAAAAAAAAAAAAAAAAAACACCTCTCAAAAAACCCTACCCTTTCTGGGGTTACCAGATGGAGCGGCAGGTCAAGTACAAGTCTCCCAATAATCCTAGAAAGTGTTTTCTCTCTCCTCGGTCGAGCCTTTCACAAGTGGCTGTCACGGGGCCGGACGCAGACCACAGCCCGCTCACTCACCACTTGGGCCCCTCCCGCCGCAGGGGCTCAGCCCCGGGGCCCCCCGCCGGCTCCGGGAGGGGGGAGCCGCAGCCCCGAGGCGGCCGGGAAGCGGGAGGGGAGACGGGATGTTTCCCCGCGCGGCTCCTCCCGCACCAGAGCTGAGGGCAGGGCGGGCCGGGCCGGGAGCGGACCCGACGCC